AGAGATCGGTCAAGAAAACCATCTCTATACCCTTCAACATATCTGAGAGCCCTGATTTGAGAAAAACGGGCATGAAGAGCCTTCATACCACTATCAACTCTGCCTATGACATTAAGCAGAGCGGTGCGTTTATTTGAGAATTTTTCTTTTGAAATGGAATGGATCAACCGTTCAGCAACTAAAGTGCGTTGAAGGTCCCCCTTCTCAACTTTCAGAGCATCTATTTCAGTGTGCATGACATTTTTTTCTATCTTCAAGACATCCAGCTCATAGTGAAGAGAATCTCGCTTATTCTTCAGAGTATCCCTCTCAGCCTTCAGAGCATCTATCTCCTTCTCTGATTCATTCAGCTTGACCAACATCTCTGTGTTTTTGGCCTCTGCTGCCTTCATTCCCTTAACAGATCTGTCGAGTCCAAGAGAGAGGATTTTAACTTTCTTGTTAGCCACCTCAAGATTTCTCTGGAAGGTGATCATTCCAAATAAGGTCTGCACAGAAACATAAGCGTTCTGGTAAATACAAGTGCAAGGTGATCTGAATAGGAAAAATAAATAAAAGATAGTACAAAAGAAAATGGAGCAACCTCAACAGCGGCGGTAGGAAAACGATGGTACATTTCATTGCAGGTCATTTTTTCCTGGTGCTCAATGTCTAGAGGGGTCCAAATGCCCTTATAGAAAGCAAAGGAGGTAACAGGATCCTTGAACATAGTATCTGTGGGGGTCATGATTGACCCATCCTCCCGTTTGAGTAAGGGGCACCATGGGACCACTGCTGGTGAAGAGACAGAAGTTCTGGCTGATTCACTCTCCGGAATGGGTATCTGAGATGAAGGGAGAGTAGTGGTGACTCTGTAATCTCTAGCCCTTCGAGCTAAAGGAAGGTCATTCTGGTCATAACCACCCTCAGAAAAATGCTCTTGCCAGTTCAACTCGGTCCCAACCATCAAAGAACACTGCAGCTTCAAAGAATTCTCCATCTTCTTAGTCCCAAAAGACCACAAGCTTGAATGAGAAATAGAAGGAGAGCCTTACCGACAATGTGTCGTCGTCCATTGTCACTAAAAGTTCCACAACAAGTGGTCCATTTGTGAAAGAGGAGATGGAAGAGCTTGATCATAAGCAAATGGACATAGATGATGGTGATCAGTTCAGTGAAGGGTTTCCTCAGACTTACAGGCCAGCATTGTCGGACAACTACTCCAACCAGTCTGAGGACTTCTTTACAAAATTAGGAGAAATAGAGGCTGACCCTCTAAATCTTTTGTTCACTCAAGGATTCAGTGCAGGAGATGAGGAGAGAGAAAGCAACAACAAGGCCTTGGATCCATTCAGTATCTTTGATTGGACAGGAAACAAAAACAATAACACATCATTTGGAGAAGCTAAGAGGGGTTTATAATATTACTTTGAAACAACAACAAAAAACCCCACTAAAACAGACTCTTATATGGTTAGTCATCTATATATGGTGCAATTTTTGTTTATGGTCATGCTTATAGGCCTTTTCATTCTAGTTTGAGATTTATAGTTGGGATCCTATGTTATAGACAGATCCACATGTTGGGATCCGATGTGGAATACTGCATAAGATGGCTCTTGGCTCCAGCACACCTACTTGACTTGGGAGTCACTCGATGCAGTACTACACACTAGAAAGGATTCTGACTATATTTGCATGTGTATAAGGCCCACGCGAATAACTTGAGATCTGTTTATTGTAATACAATTAGTATATTGTATCACAGAGGATCCCAACTACGGGATTTCTAGTGGGCAAGGTAGGTTTTTTTTTATCAACTTTCTTACCTTTTCTTGATGTTGTTATTTACCAGAACAATCAGTGGGATTAGGAAAAGGAGTAAAAAGAGAGGGTGCAGGTTGATTGGGGGCAGACCTAATGAGAGTCCCACATTCCTTTGGAATATTTGTGGATGGGACAGAAAGCTGAGGAACAGAACATTTGAACAGTTAAAACATGCAAGTACATTTATCAGAGACATGACTGAAAGCTCGTGAAGAGATTGATGTAAGGTGGAACTCTTTCTCTTATCTTTCGGATCAGTGGACTAAATTATTCAAGCCGGACCCATGCATTAATTTGGTCATGTGTAATACCTATATATATACACACACATATGGAGTATATGTTTGTATGTATAACAGTAGGGAAAAAGCATTGGAAAAGCTGGACTTTTCATATCGATCAGTCTTCTCTAGTGATTTGCAAAAGAGAGATACACAATCTTTGGGTTCCTCAGCTTTCTGTTTGTTCAATGTCCACGTACACAACTTTTGTCTATTTTGGATAATTTACTTTAGATTAATGTACTATATATTTAATTAGTCTCATCTTCTCTGATTCTCTTGCTGATTTCTTTCGAATTAATGCATGCATGCATGTTGGATGAAATGAATATAACTATATACTATATAATTATATATCTGGCTTGTAATAAATATTGGCCATGCTCGAACTTGACAATCTTTTTAATTACCAAAAATAACACTTTTTAGTTTAGGTTTAGCAAAGTCACATGAATAATGTTGTATTAATAGTGCATTTTGAATTTTTTTAAAAAATATTTTTAAGAATTTTAACATCTATAATATAAAATTTTGATATAAGCTTAACGTAATATAATTAGATTGTATTAAATTTCACTCTCTTTCCTCGTTAGAATTATTTTTTGGATGGTAAAACAAACACACACATGTTTTTTTGCCCACGTCAGGGCTTGAACAAACACAATATAAGCTTAACGTAATATAATTAGATTGTATTAAATTTCACTCTCTTTCCTCGTTAGAATTATTTTTTGGATGGTAAAACAAACACACACATGTTTTTTTGCCCACGTCAGGGCTTGAACCTCTTCCCACTTTTTTGAAGATGGGAGATTATACCATTGGGGCCAAAGGCCCTTTGATTATTTATATACAATTTTGATCAGCTATAAGTTGCATGTTAATTAACTAGCATGCAGCAGAAATAAAGAAATAATAATAAAAAAAAATGTCTGGCATTAAGTTCTTTCCATTTAATTTAATCCACCATAATTTGCTAAAAATATACCGAGAAAGGACAATAAAAACTGCTAAGTTTAGATAGGTTATTGTAGGTTTCTTATTCTCCTTTTTCAATAATATTTATATCCTTATTGATGAGAATGTATGCCATTAGATCAATAATAAATGAACATGTTTTTTAAATTACCAAAACATAAATAAGTAATAATAATAATATAACATTGTCCTTGCTACAAATGTCAAATTTATCTTCAAAATCATGGACATCTTGTACCACCTTTGATCATATATAGAAGCAACATTTTGTTCTTTATCTTTTCATGGAAGCAACATTTTCCAGGTAGATATAGTGCCCTTTAAGTTCCGTCAAATCCGTTGATTTTTCATTTCATTTAGGCAGGATTCCGGTCTAAATTCCCAAATGGGTTCCTCATTTTAGTCAAAAATCATTACGTGCTAGACTGAAATTTTCCACATTTGGGTTGGGTTTATTGGAATGACGATAGTGATGTTCATGATTCGGAAAAGAAAGCACATTATGGACTCAATGGAATTGACATCAACCTAAAACTTGACCACCATTAATTTAGTCTCTTTTGAAATTTTAGTACCCAATAATCGGTGCTATGATTTGAGTTTTGTTGTCTTACACCTTAAAAAAAGGCATATAAAACACATTTGATGTCTCCACGCATGTATGTCAAATTATTCATAATAAGCATGGTGTTATCCCATCATTGGTACCAGCACAAGTCCATAATTTTCAAGAGCGTGAATATGTAACAGCACTGTGTAATTGAGATTATCAAGTCAATTACAGGATTGGACATCGTCTCTGTTTTCAAATGTTAAATTGGTTTCACGATTTTATCACTATCCCTACACCTTTTCACTATTTGAGATGTGTTCATTTGGGAAGAAAGTATTTGCTATAAATGGAGACTCGTCATGGATAGCAACGTACACTTTTTATGAATGTAGTCTTTAGGTGGATCAATCTCCTCTCTCCGCAATATAGGCCCTTATTATTCAAAGGGGAGGTTAGGGGACAGGCCCGTACTTTTCAAAAGAGAGATTAGGAGTTCATGCCTCCGTGAAAATATGAATGTGTGTCATCTCAATTGATAAATTGTTATGTTTTAGTATGCAAATTAATTGCAAGCTAGCTGGCTTGTTAAAAAATCTTCAAAATCAATCAGGGTGATTTTGTTTCATAGTGATATTAAATTAGGTGCACCGGTAGAGATATTAGGTCAGAGAGAAATTAGTCTTCACATCAAAAAGATTTGTCTTTCTTTTTTTCTTTTCTTTTTTTGGTAATTAGAAATTTTGTTTTTGTCAAATTCTATATTCCCATGTTTACAACTAATGCATATAAAGCCTACAATTATGATTATAAATCTATGAAAAATAAAACTAAAACTAAAGACTCCAAAGTTCACCTCAAAAGAATATTTGTCCAAAAGCTGCTGTTTTTGTTGGGTTCTCTTTGGGCTCTGTTTCTGTGAAATGTGATGCGTTTTTCTTTCGTTTGGATCCTTCCCTGGATTCTTTCTTTGGTCCATGGGCCTCATTTTTTATTTTTATTTTTTTTTATTATTATATTTTTTTAACATTTTTGTATGGTTTTTTAATAAATTTTATATACGGAAAAAAAAAAATAATCCTAACAACAAAAGTATAAAATTTTCTATTTGTTTGAATATGAATAACAATTAAGTGATAAATCTTAAATAATTTAAGAACTTATTCTAGGAATTAATTTTTTGGGAGGGGTGTGTGATTATTTTTAACTGGGGAAAAAAAAAATCTTAAGAAATTATAGTTATTATTCTTTCTTTTTTTAAAGAAAGAAAAAGAGAATTTCAATTCAGAAAAAATCATGTGAGAAGCGGCAACACAAGCAATTATACCACCAAGCGATAATCTAATAATGATACTTTCTCAATCGATGTGGTACAAACAAAACCACATCTTGCCCAACCAGAATTTAATGCTCTGCATATACAAAACCACATCTTACCCAATTTCCCTCTCTATATAAGAGCGCACACACACATATATATATATATACACACACACACATCATCTGTTGGATTTGGCGAATAGTAACGATACAGCATGAAGCTTCATCTTCTTCCTCATTATCGCCAGTTCATGGCATCGACATATCTCAGATCAATCAAAAGGGTCTCTTCTTTCTGTACTTCTTCATCTGCACCGAAATGGGAAGGTTGGGTTTCTATGGTGCAAGGAGCTTCCAGAGGAATAGGCCTTGAATTTGTCAGTAATTTTCCATTCTTTCTTTTATGTTATTGCATTTAGTTTCTTATTTCAAAAATGGGTTTGGTATATTCTTTAAACAATGTTCAACTGCTCCGATTTCTCAGGCCTTGAATTTTGTGAGTAATTTTTCGTTCTTTCTTTTATGTTATTGCATTTTAATTTCTTATTTCAAAGATGGGTTTCCGTCTATTCTTTTTGCAATGTACAACTGCTCTGATTTCTCTTTACCACGATTTGGGGAGGACCCATGTTTAATTGTTTATACCCATTTCATGTGCAGTTCTTTCTAAAGTGTATAGGTTGCCTTATTCGCTAAAACATTTTATATTCTATACTCTACTTATAACGATTGGTCAAATTTTTAAATTTTGGGTTTTATATGGATTCAAATCTGAGAGAAATCCGGTGGGTGAAGTTCATCACTATCAATGGTATATTTCGTTACTATAATGGTATGAAATTCGCCTGTAAGCAAATAGTAACAAAATTCAAACAAGTGAAATTTCACCCCATTTCACATTCTTATAGCAACAAAATATACCATTGATACTTCACCCACCCGGATGGAACTGTGGGTTTTTCTCACTCGGTCGACTTTGATTCTTATATGGAGGCCTCTGTGATATCTCTTGAATTCTATTCCTCTTCTTTTTTTTTAAGTACTTATAGCTCATCATTATGTGAGTAAATTAAAAAGTCTATTTGAGGTACATTTGTATGTCCACTGAAACTGAATTACTCCAATTTGTTTTACGGATATTTATGCACAAATACACCAACATGAAAGGCCTCATTGCAGGAAAAAAAAAAAGTTGCATCATCAAGATGTGCCATAAATAAAAAAGAATTCCTTGTATTTTGTACTATAGTCTATATGTGACTTTAGAACATGAGTTGTGGTTATAGCTCCAATGGTTTGTGATGGTCCCTATTGTGAATAATGTATGCTATATAAGAGGGAGTCTTAACCAAAGGAATTAAGGCAACACACAAAACCAACACGCCAGTCGCCTAGCGGTATCAGGCCCCTACTTCCCAAAAGGAGGTTAGGGGTTCAAGCCTTAGTGGAGGCGTGTGTGTGTGAGTACCAACTAAGAAAAAAAAAAAAAAAAAAAGGCAACACACAAATACAGTGACAAGGAGCTAGGGGCTTGGTAGGTTTTAGAAATGGAATTACAGTTAAATTGGTTGAAATGTATGAGTAATTTAGTTTAGAATTGAAAAGAAAATCTTTCTAGAATTTTTATAAAAGTTAGGAAAAATTAAATGCTATGTTGAGAACGGTAGCAAATTGGCATTATAGTATGTGGTGAGGCAAAAACAACTTGATAGTAGAATTTTTCAGAAGTGATGGTCAATCAAGGTATTAGGGCAAGAATGGTGGTAAATTAGCATGTGGCGTGTGTGATTGAAGGTTTATGGTATTGGGAATAAGGCCCTTATTTAAGGGCTAGTTGTGGTATTTACGAATGCTCAGCACTACTAAAATTAAAGTAAATATTGAAGAGAAGAAGAAAGGCATGAATGATAATACTTAGGATCTCATTAAGGCCTTATAGAAATCTCACCTAGACAAAACCAACAAAGGCACACTATTAGGAAAAAGAAAAATTCTTTAGAGAATTCATTATTGAAATTTTTTAAGTTGTCTTTGCAAGACTTGCTTTTACAGAAATTTTTATTTTATTTTATTTTATTACTATAAAAGAAAAATAAATCTCTTGAACTGATTATGACTCGATTAATTGTAAATTTCAAACAAGAAAAGGTCTTAATAAAACTTATAACTAAGCACCAGTTATCATGATTGGAAAACTGAGAAAAATTATCATAGTGTCATAATTTGTAAAATACTAAGATAGACTTATCAAAAAAAAAAAAAAATTGTAAAATACTAAGATATACCCCTAGCTATAGAAAACATCATTGTCCCAATTTAAAGGAGTCAGTATCATTTGGGTCCTAGCAATCCGTCTAAAGTTAGTACCCAATTATGTGATACTTGTGCCATGTTACCATGTAGCCTATGTATATATCTCTCTGTTATTCAGGAAAAATATATTTATATATATATATATATATATCTCTATGTTGATGTTTGCAGTAGATTCTTTATCATGCTTCTAATTTGAATGGTGGAGATGATTTTTGTAGTTCTAGTAATAAGCATCCTAGTTGTTGAATTACTTTCTGAAACTGACATATTGAATAAATTGTGTGAGAGAGTCAGGTAATTCTCCTTACTTATTTGTGACTGGATTTCTGTTTTATATAGGTTAAGCAATTGCTGGAGAAAAATGAGAATGGGCATGTCATTGCAACGTGCCGCAATCCTGATGGGGCAACAGGGCTTCTTGAACTAAAAGATAAGTTTGCTGAACGCCTTAACATTCAACAGCTGGACCTGACCGTTGAAAAAACCATAAAGGTACTTTTTCCCGTCCCCCTTGTACTTAGTTTTTGTCACTTCCTCAAAATCAAAATGAAACTAAGTAAGAGGTATCTACCTTTCTAAGTTCAGTTTATGGAAATATTGTAGTATAGATGAATTGGTTGAGGTAGTGGCTTGTACTAGAGTCAAAGAAGAGGGTGAGTGCACTGAAAACTTGGAATCGTACAGCCATTTGAGTTCAGATTGGTGATTACTATAAGATTCCAAATTTTCTTTCCTTTCATTCTAAAAATAGTGTATTTTTATTTGTTATAGTTACATCTTTTTTGTAAGTCACTTGATATAATAATCATATATCAGGCATGTGCTAAATCGTTAACAGAGACATATGGCTCTTTAAACCTTCTTATTAATGCTTCTGGCATCCTTTCAATACCTGATGTCTTACAACCAGGTACAGTTGTTGCTTCTTTGCTTCATTTAGAATTTCAACATCACAATAAACTTCAGATCAGCTATATATATAATCTAACAGTGAACAAATATTCAAATGTTTCAGTAGAATAGTTTTATTTTCCTTGCTTGAGTCAGCAAATTGAATATACTTACTTTCTTCAATTTTCAGTACAGAAACAACCCTGAGCAAGATTGAGAAGTCATCGTTGTTGCTTGCTTATGAGGTTAATGCAGTGGGTCCTATTTTAGTGACGAAGGTATGATCACTCAGCTTCCAAGTCATAACTTATTGTTAAATTTAATTATATGAAATGGTGATCTGTACCTGTAGCTTACTCATTTTGTTTTAGTTGAAATTATATCCCAGCCGAAAATCTATATTTTGAGTGCTAATAAAATCAGTATGTTGCCCTCATTTTTTTTTAGTGGTGCAATGTATGATTCTAGCGTAGAGAGATTTACCATTTTGTGATTGTTAGAATTGCATTGAGACTTTTAAACATGTTAAGGTCCATGTTGGGCATACTTATCAAAAAAAAAAAATGTTAAGGTCCATGTTGGACATGACATTAGTTTAAAATCATAAGAAACACAACATGACATGAGTTTTGGATACACATCCAGAACGCCTACAATGCTCACATTCTTTACGCATTTCCAACGAAAGAATAAGAGAAACACATCATTTAGGTTTAAGTGCAAAAAATCCCCTCTACTATCAATATAGTGCAAAATAGTCCCTGTGTAGTGTAAAACACCCCTATACTATTGATTTGGTGCAAATAGCCCCTTGAAGACTTAAAATGACGATAATACCCTCATTTCAGTAGAATAAAATAATAAGTTTAAATACAAGCTATGTAAAATGACCATTTTACCCTTTTATTATCTAAAGACACTATGTCATTTTGCCCAAATTTTCTCCTTCTCTTCTTCACACAAAACCTATACTTATATAATATATCAATACATATATATATATGTGTGTTTATTTCTTCCTTTAATTGTAATTTTTGGCAATAATTATGTCTATTTATTCCTTTCAATTCTTGGTAATCTGAGAAGTTTCCAATCTGAGGTCACGTCTATTTCTTCCTTTGATTTCAATTTTTTTGTCTTCTGATATTTTCTTTCTTTATTTCTATTTTTGGTAATCTGAAATCTTCTATACATATATATCAATAATAAGATTTTTTTGTTAGTAGCATCGTAGAGAGAAAGCAAATCTGGTATTGACAACCGTGTGAATCCATGAATATGGAAGTAACCGGAAAATAGAAGATAGAGATACATCGGCAAATATGAAAATAGCTGGAAACTTGGCCAACCCCATTGACCTCTTCCTCCTTTTCAAACTCCGCTCCGACCACGGCGTCCTCGGCCACTGAAAAATCGGGTCTGTCTCTGTTCCCGTCAAAGAACTCCTCGCCGGCACCCACCACCACTCCCTTTCTCTCGTCTCAAAACTCAACCCCACGACTGGTCAAACCTCCGCCGACCTCCTCCATCGAACCATCGACTACCACCTTTGGCCTGCCACCAAACTGCCCCCCTCTCTCCCACCACCCCTCCGTCGCTCTCGTCTCCAAATTCCTGAGGTCCACAATACAAATTCCAAATTTCAAATTCCTGAGATCCACTGAACCCACATCAGATTCTCCACCACGCCTCTAGAAACTAAAACCCCCAATCCTAATTTCAGAGAGACTTATTTTAGAAAAGGGTAGAATAGGAAGAGAAAAGGGCAAAATAGGATTTTTAAATTTATTTTATGTTAATTTTGACCAAAAAGTGGTTAGAGGGGCTTATTTGCACCTTTTTTGAATTTTATGGACTAAAATTCACATTTTCAAAAAGTATGGACTATTTCTACACAAACCCTATATATTGGGGGGGTTTTTGCACTTCCCCCATCATTTATCAACTTTTTGCGTGAATTTTATTGACATGTAAAATATGCTTTGTGGATTTGAAAAAATGAGCAAACTTTTAATGGATTGCATGTGCATCATATGTCACACAAATGCTTAAGCTTAACGGGGGTGTAGCAAAGAAAGTTTGAAAGTGAGAACAATTTGGCTATGGTCCCATCTCAGAATTTGGAGGTCAGACAATGTTAACTCTTAGACAACTATATGCACCCGGCATTCACCAAGTCCAAGTAATGTAGATATAAAAGTCTGTTATATAAATGTGATTGAAGATCAATTAACTTCAAGATTAGCTCGTGATAGAAATTTTATACATCTCATGTTTTTTGAATCATTTTTTGCTCAATGATTTATAATATGACCCAATATTATACTTGGAATTTGAAATAGCAGCACATGTGGCCTTTATTGAAGGCTGGAGGAGGCTCTGGGACTGAAAAGGATGTTGCCATCGTGGCCAACTTAAGTGCCAGGGTGGGATCCATTGGGGACAATCGTTTAGGGGGTTGGCATTCATATCGATCTTCTAAGGCTGCTCTTAATCAGTGTACGATTCCTTTAATGTCTGATTGTATTATATTTTGACTGTTGTGTCTGCATTTATTGTAATCCTTGTCTGCTGATGCTTGCAGTAACAAAAACTGTGTCATTGGAATTTGCAAGAAGGAAGGATCCGATTATATGCCTCTTATTGCACCCGGGCACAGTGGACACAGATCTCTCTAGGCCTTTTCAGAAAAATGTTCCCGAAAGCAAGCTTTTCACCAAAGAGTTCTCAGTACAGAAGCTCTTAAGCATCATCAACAATGCTAAGAGGCATGATAATGGCAAGTTTTTTGCCTGGGACGGCCAGGAAATTCCTTGGTAATCTGTCGCGTTATTTTGAACAAATTTCTTGGTCAAGTTTTTCAAAATATCCTGGTCTTTGCATGCATACGGTCATGAAAGACACTGTTAATCAAACTGTTTAACCATTCTGGTTAGAGAAGGTACATATTAATTAACTACTGTTCATCTATATTTCTTCTGATGTAAATTTAATTGTTTTATTGGAAGCACACATGTTCAGTAAACGAGTAGAATATTTTTTGATTGCTTTTAGACGTCACGTTTGCTTTACCATTAAGCGTAAACAATTGAATGCTGGGTCGAGTAGAGGAAAATAAGGAATGCTTATATGCAACTCAGGATGGTTAATAAGGGATTTCCATTGCCTCCTCTTTTTTATTTTATTCTTTTTGGTGACATAATTCAAACACTGAAGTTGCACCTTTTAATGAGTTGGGGGAAAATGACCATAAACACAAGAATGATTTTCTATGTGGTTAGTACTAGCAGCTGCTTTTGAAATTATGCGACCGAAGATGGTCGGTGTTGCAGCAAATATAGCTTGGAATGTGATTTTAGTTTATATTAATTGAATGAAACTGGCTATTGAGCTGAATGGGAGCACAGTTTTACCAAAGTTTCTAATTTGGTTGTGAAAATATTGAAATTGATTGTACCAGAGAAATATTAGTTTATTTTTAGTTTGTAACCTAAAAGCGATGGCCACAGATTTCTTTAGACTATTTCAGAGAAATATTTTCAAAGCCAACTTTTGAGGAGGCCCTTTAATTTGAGGTTCATAGTCATAAACAGGAGAGCAAGAACTGAGTAAAAAAGATGGAACATGTTACTATTTTGATTTACTTCAGTTTGATTTTGCGGTAGTCGGTGTGATATTGGTTGGAATTTATGGATTTTTATTACTTTGCTAATAAAATATATGGAATGTGAAAAGGAGAGTTAAATGCACTGATCCATTGAACCAATTAAAGGTTACATTATCAAGGCACAAGCTAGGTTCTCATAGAACCCCATAGAACACTGCCTTAATGGTTTTATTCTACTCCTTTCTAAATCTCTAACATGACATCAGTCACTCACTGCATGATTAACTCAACCATTTCAGTGGATCCTGCGAAATCAAAAGTACATATAATCAGTCATAATCAGTTGTAAGGTGTGTGTGTACACACACACTGTCTGGGTCCTAATTTTATAGAAAATTTGAATGATTTTTCAAGTGTGTATGGACTCACGATTCGCAGTTGGTGGTCAGTGAGACAGGAAACCCAACTTTGATCTTGCAAACACTCGGGATTTGGCTCAAGAACTTGTCCTGTACGCCACCAACGTTTTTCACGCCGTCCTTGAGGCACCGGCAGATTGTCTTCTTGTCATTGACAGATTTCACGCTCTGAGCAAGCTGCTGCAGCCCATTGCAGCATGCAGGGGACGGCTTGGCGTCCTTGCCAGTGGCATAGGTCACACAAGATGCGGCCTTCATTTCAACCGTGCTGCATGGAATGGTTGCGACGCTCACATGAGCAAAGAAGAAGAGGAGGGAGAGGAGGAAGACCACAGAGAAGTAGATGTTCTTCATGGTTAACTGTTGAAGTAACTGTATCAATTGATGGAGGACACTCTTTTGCTTTGCTCTTGGGAGGCTGTTGGGCTGATGGAAAGTGGTGTTGGGGTTGTTAGGTTTATATAGAGAAGGAATGGAACATTAGGGCTTAGGATCTTGTGGGGAGTTTTGAGTTTCCCAATGAGATTTGATAGATAAGCTCCCAAGTTAGTATTTCATTGGGGTTGGTGACACCAAGTGAAATGTTGTTGTTACACTTGAAGCCTAGATTCTTAGATGTGGTTGATGTCTGGGAAAATGAAAATTTTAGGTTCTTGGGATTGGCAAAGGTTTTTTTATCAGTAATTTATCTCAGAAAATTCACTGGGGGCACCAACATATCAATCTGCTGATCCAGTAATTTCACCCATTAAATGTAATTTTATTATTGTTAATTTATATAATAATTTGGCTCTAAAGTTTGATTTTTGATGTATAATCGTATAATCCACAAACTAACAGTTACTGATCTTGGAGACCATGTAGAGTGGTAAAATGCTTACGGTTGCAGCTGTTTTGGCAGTAAAGTATTGGTAGGAAGATGGTGGCATTTCTATAGTGAAGTACCATTGCTTGTGGCGGTAATGGTGGTGGTGGAAATAGAGGCGGGGTGGTGGCGGCAGAATGTATAATGAACAACTTCTTGGTTAAATAGCAGAACAGATTGGGAGTAGTAAAAAGGAAAAGGTAAGTGTAAAAAGTGGGGAGTTAAAAATTCAAGAGGAATAGAGAACAGTCACCAAATAGAAGTTCTCTCATTTTGAATACATTATGATAATCCCCCATGTAAATGATGCATTTATACAGTTTTACCTAGAAATGCTTTATGAAAACACAAATGGATCCATCATTTGATTTCAATTCCTTAATAATCAGCTTCTGGGTAGAGTTTAAAATATTTTCTTGGGTGCCTTATTATGCAAAAAGCAGCTATGAAACACAATGGGGAGTGATTCGAAGAAATGGGGCGAAAGATGGCAATCCTATGTGACAAACGAATATCAACTAAATTATATATATATACATATACATTCTATTAGACTGTTAGTGGGTCAGCTATAGTTGGGCATTAAAAAAGAAATAAGAACAATGTCATTCATACAGTTTAAGACCCGTTTGACATAACTTTTTTACTTTTGTTTTTAAACAGAAAGTAATAAAAAAGTAGAAGCTATCACTTATATTTGGCTTATATATTAGTGTTTGAAAACTACATCTTAGAAAAGCTTTTATCTTAAATGAGATTTTTTTGTCTATTTGACAAAACTTTTATTAAATCTATTCTACTACTAATATAACTATTTTGCCCTTAAAAAAATTTATTTATTTATTATTTATCATTTGTCAACCTAAAGTAGTTTAACTATTTTTTTATACCACTCTTTTTAAATATATACTAATAAACTATTCAATATAATAAAATTTATTCATATTCCATATATAATAATAAAAATAATAATTGATTGCAAAAACCATTGACCGGTTTAAGAAATTTAGACAAGCAAATATAGACAAAATAAAATTGAAGACCAAAAAGGATATGAAGGCAAGAAGAATATGCTGGTAATTGGTAGAAAATAAAACCAAGAATGAATCAAATTACAGATTGCTAAGAGCGAAATATATATATATATGGAGTAAGAAAGAGACTTTTTGTCTCTATTTACAGAGAGAGATGAACTTGGCCGATGAATCAAGGACCAAAGCCAATCCCAGGAAACATGAAAGTCAAGCTTGAAGAGCAATTTTTTACCATATGAATTTTTCAGTCCCTCTCACAAATGAAAGTTCTGTATCAAGTATCAACCTACAGGGGCGGAGCCAGGATTCAAAGTAAGGGGGGGCCGAACAGTTTTACTAATATAATATAATAATATTTTAAGTCAAAAGTACTTCATGATCGATTAGATGCATACAAAAATATATTTAGCCAAAATTTGGCCAATTTGTTTACAAAATAATACTTGGTCTATATCTAGTCAAATATGACAAAGATAAATACAAAAAGAAACCTGAAAGACCAAACAACTACTACAAAAGCTGAGCTCGACGATCTTTTAGAGAAGAAAAATCATCTATAATTGAATCTGTACTAAAAGTCTGAGCAATTTCTTTTTCAATACTGACACTCAAGTAATCTGCAAGAAACTCATCCTCCATCCTGTTGCGCAGTTGTGTTTTGAAAAGTTTCATAGTTGAAAATGCCCTTTCTATAGTTGCCGTGGAAACGGGAAGAGTCAAGACAAGACGAATCAACCTATCAATCAAAAAGTAGATTTTTGACTTCTTTGTTTCCACTAATTCTCTACATAGTTCAGAAATCGTTGACATATTTTTCAAATATGAATGAACAGGCATTTCAACCTCATAATGTTGCAATTGGAATGTCAACATAATTCTCTCTTGGTCCGTGAAATCTTGAGGATAAAATTCATCTACAAGCGTGCAAATGTCTTCAACGTTAAAGAACTTGTAACCATCTCTAGGATCCAAAGCTGAGCTGAGAGTAACAAGTTTCATTGCCTTTTCACTAAATCTGTTATTCAACTCCTACAATTGTGAATCAATTGTGCCATAAAATATATCAATCCGATAGTGGTGCTCAAGTGTAATATTCTCTTGTCGGTGACGTTACTGACCCTTAATTTTTTTGGTATAAGGAACACTTAAATCAGGCACATCAATGTTGTGGCACTCACAAAATGATTTAACAATATCAAGTAACTTGTTCCAACCATTTTCTCTCAATTTCAGAATGATTTGTTTTGTACTCAAAACCAATTGCATAGCATTTACGATGTCTTGATCTTTTTGTTGCAAAGCTTGACAAAGGATATTAGTTATTCCCATGATATCTTTTATCAAATGCAAAATAAACACAAACTGAAATGATCTAAGAGTATTAAAGGCAGTATCAGCATCTCCCCGGATCTTGTAATTACATCCATCTTCAACAAGGTTGTTAAGAACTGAACATGTTGGACCAAATAACCTTATCAAACTACAAACAGAATCAAAATGGGAGCTCCAACGAGTATCTCCAGGTCGTTGTAAGTTACCAATCTGATTAGCTCCTCGACCGGTTTCAAGTTCATCAAGATCAATCAAATGGGCAATTTCCATAACTTGAGCAGAATGTAATTCATCAGTTCGTTTGCAAGAAGCTCCGATGTTATTGATAATGAAGTTCAAGTTTGAAAAGAATTGATGGACAACGATTACTTCTCTAGATGCGGCAACTAATGCTAGTTGTAGTCGGTGAGCTAGGCAATGCACATAATATGCATAAGGACAATCATTAAAAAATAATGCTTGCAAACCATTCCATTCACCACGCATATTGCTAGCACCATCATAACCTTGACCTCGGAGATTGTGAATATCAAGATTATAGTGAGAAAGAACCGCACAAAGATCCTTTTTTAAATTCAATGAAGTTGTATCTTTGACATGCACAAGATCAAAAAAACGTTCTTGTAAAAAACCATCCTTATCGACGTATCTTAAAACGAGAGCCATTTGCTCTCTTTTAGATTCATCACGAGCTTCATCAACAAGAATACAAAACTTGGCATCGCTGATATCTTCACGAATCTTACTTCTCACTTTTCTAGAAACAATATGCAAAATCTCCTTTTGAATTTGTGGTGAGGTATACTTGGCATTTTTTGGAGCATTTTCAAGAACAATTCTAGCGACATCATCATTATATGACGCAAAAGCCTTTACCATTTCAATGAAATTGCCTTGATTACTTGATTGAAGGGATTCATCATGCCCTCTAAAAGCACAAGCTTGATAAGTAAGCCATCGGACGCATCAATTGTGACCTTCAATCTCAATCGATTATTTGAAACTTGTTCGGAAGTTTGTCTAACCATCATTGTATCAATATAACAAGGTTTATTCATTAAGTCCTTACATGCTCTCTCAGCAATGCTATGAGCAGAACATGGACTTCCTCCCACATGATTTAAGAAAGCATACCTATTGCCATCATTAACTTTCTTCCAACTTCGAAATCCTTCACTAGTAAATGCATTGGTTCCAGGACGCCCCGTTGGTTTCGCTCCAAAAAGAAAGCAAGGTAAGCAATATGCAGCATCCTTTGAAGGAGAATACTCTAACCAGGTAGGAAATAATTTAAACCAAGATGATTGAAATCGACGACGATGCTTTTCCGATCCAGAAAGCGGATATACTGAAAGCACAATTTGATATGGTTTCGCTTTGATATAAGCTCGTCGAACTTCATCACGTTCGTCAACAGGATAATCCCATATTTGACGACGTAATCCTGGATCACGTTCTAAAAAGGTAGGATCAACTTTTGTATGTTCAACTCTTAGAGATTTTGAAGGATGCTGGTTATCATGAATCGAAACATCGACATTAGAGGCGGAAGCCACGGAAGGCACATCATTTTTTTGAAAAAAACAATCAATAGTTCTTTTTGGCTTCACCATCGTATAACACTGTACCTAAAGAGGATAATTCAAATATAAACTTTTAATACCTAGGGTTTTACATTGTAATTTAAACCACCGATCCTAAATTCCTAATAAGCATAATTGAGTAAAAAAAATATTGCACCCTCGTTGCATATAAAACAACTAATTTAAAATATAAAAAAGTTATCACCCACAATTGTGTATCTGTACAGTGTCTAAAAAATAAATCGTGCGCCTGTGAAGTGTCTAAAAAATAAATTGTTCGCCTGTGAAGTGAGATTAGAATTTGTATATATAGCGACATTTACATGACTAATTTCAAGTGAATTTCAGAAAAAATAGGAAGAGATAAGTTTTAGAAGAAAAAAGTGTGTACCAATTAAGATTTTCAAAGTCTTCGTGTCAGTCCATGATAGTTTCCCTCGGAATATTATGCAGTTTTACTCCTGAGATGTAAAAAAGTTATAAACATCAGTACCATCGAGAAATTGGTAAGAGAAATAATAAAATTGCTTCCAAAATTTGTGGACAGTGGACAATAAAGCAAGATTTGTGGACAGTGGACAATAAAGTTGGTAAGAGAAATAACAAAATTGCTTCCAAAATTTGTGGACAGTGGTCAGTGGACAATAATTTAATAAAGCAAGATTTGTGGACAGTGGACAATAAAGCAATTCAAGACTCAAGTCTAAATTCTAAAACAATCTCAAAGTCCCACAGTGGGTCCGATTAAACATTTAAACTCCTTCATTTTATCTATATATGCTAACTAATGCTGTCATTTAACTACAAATAAAAGGCAGAATACATGAATTCAACAAAGCAAACATCAAGATTGTGTGCTAAGAACAAGTGAACAATGCCCTACTGCCCTAGACTTTGATGAAATAGCTATGCAAAATTTGTATACCAAACAAGATTCGAAAAATATTGAACAAACGGGCCAGTAAACGGTTACATAAAACAGAAACACTATCAAAGTATCAATTGAAAAAGAAAAAATAACAGAATAAATTATAATGGATGTGAGTTCTCTGTGGGAATTGGAATTACCAGGTAATCAATCATGATTCGAGAGTCTGACGAAGAGAGAAATCAGAAAATGTGAAGATCAAGAGGCTAAGTAGTGTACCAATTCAATGAATTCATCAATTCCTACAAACAGTCTCAGCGGAGGAGAAGGTAAAGAAAAGAGGGTTAGGGCAAGGCAAGAGGGGTGGGGGGGCCAGTGTACTAAAATATATATATATATATTTTTTATGTGTATACTAATAAAAAATTTTTTTTTTTTTTGGGGGGGCCAGGCCCCTGCTGGCCCACCCCTCCCTCCGCCCCTGTCAACCTACCTTTCATAAAGGTATCACAAGGCCGTAAAACCGGTATGAATTATGAATCGAACTATGACTCAATGTCTCTATATATTTGTATGAATCGAAGTATGGCTCAATTTTATATATATATATATATATATATATATTTGTATATGGCTGTATATTGCTCTGGGATTTCCTCCGATTAAGGGCTCGATTATAATCTTTCGAGTTTGAAGGGAAATATAGAGGCGAGTTGTGCAGTTTGGAAAGTAAATTAAAGGTCGTTTTATAGGGACACGCTTGGGATTATATTGTTTTATTTGATAATAAAAGGGGTACGCTTGTCATTTTAAAAAATTTCATTAAAACACCAAAACTCTTCCCGTGTTATTTCAAAAGAGCGTTTTAGAAAGGCTAGGGTACCAGCTTCTCCAAAACGCTCTTCCAAGATTCAAAAGCTATTTTAATAAGTTAGTCAAATACTATTCAAAATAGCTTCCAAGCCCAAAAAACTAAAAGTAGAGTTTGAAAAGACAATCTAATAAGAATTCCAAGATGAATTATAGAAGTGATTAGAAGAGATAAATTAGTAATCAATGCGTGAGAGAAAAGTAGTAGCAGCGCTTTAGATACTAGACTCAGGTAGTATAGTCATATACAACGTAGACTCATAAATGCGCCAAAAATGAACAATTGTCTGCATAAAAGATAAGAGATAAAGAGGCTGATCAAAATTCATATGGGAGGAAGTAATTAGAAATGATTGTAAAAAATTAAATATAATATGAGATGAAGTATTGACGTGTGATAAAAAAGAACTTATCACGAAAAATGAGACAAAGGCGAGGAGGAGGATGGAGCAGTGATGCCCTTAAGAGAAAAGGTGCGAAAGAGTCCTTTGGAAAGAGAAGCCAATAAGAAGGAGATAGACATGTCTGTGAGGGGTCGGGGGAATAATTTGGACTTCAATTCCACAGTTACTCTAATACTGAAGAAGTATTTTCTTTACTGGTGAAGTATGTTCTTTTATGCAACCGTTCGCTTGCAATTTTAATCAAATTCTTTGAACAAAATAGAAATTTTGTATTTATCTTTTATGCATATGTTAATATATTAAATCAGTCAAATAACACATGTTAAATATATTAAAGCAGTCAAGTACAATAGTAGACAATGAATAAAACAAAGGGCTTGATACAAGGTCCAGTTGGCCAAGCGTATTAAGAAACTGTGAGAGAGACTAAACCCTAGCAAAAAGGGAAACCTGGCCAGGCCATGGCTACCTCATTCCCTTCTTTTTCATCTAAGTAGAGAAGAAGTAAGATCATAGAACAGTACAATTAGCAATTCAGATGTCTTTGATAATGCAATAGCATTGAGCACTTTCAGAAAGTCACCTTCGCACTCCATCTTCAATAACCCGAGATCCTGAGCAAAAGCAAGCACACTGCTAAAGCTTCGATGTGTTCTGTTGTCAATGACCTGCCGTTGATAGTCCCCACCACCCCATGCACCTCTGCGGCTTATAATCAGTGCTTTTATTAATAAATTGCCCACCATCCACATGTAATTTGAATATGCAAGTCTCTAGAGTTCATGAAATTGAATCCTCCCTGGACATGCCTCTGGCACCAAAATTTTATCCAGCTTAGGCTTAATGTCTTACCTTCCCACAACCAAACCTAGAAAAAGGAGGTCAATGAGTTTTAGTTTGTAAACAGAAAATGCATTAACTTAAAAGTTAAACCTCTTGAACACGAATGGCCAGCCTCAATTATTTAGGACTAAAGCTTCCGTTAAGTCAAATGAAGCCTATACCTGAAACAATAAAAAACAAATGATTAGTAATTTCATTTTTATTGTCATTTACAGATTGTGCATAGGTAAAACAAGTAAAAATAAAATAAGTTGTAATACTTTAATGTAATAAATTTGTGGATTATTGCATTGTATCTTTCGTTCCAATATGCATCCAACTACCAAAGAATTTATCAGTAATCTATGTTCCTCTCCCTTAATTACAGTACTTTACAAAACCCTATAAAAACAAGTTTGAACCTGCCAAACCAAAGTTTCATCTATCACATTCAAATATTCATCCAAATTTCACCAAATGGTCCCAGGACAGCAAACGAGCATGCAAACTGATAAAATAAAGTTGTTCTAGTTAAGCTAAATGGCTCAGTAAATAAATATCAGAAGAGGAACAGCAGCCAGATTTTGGTAAAACTACAGTTAATAGAACTTTATTGCGAAAGATTGTAAATCTGAATAAGTGGGAGCCTGCTAACAATGAAAGAGTAACAACTATAACTCGCTAAATGGTACAGTAGAATGGAATCACCAAAACAATTTAATAGTTATGTCGGAAGTCCCATTGTGATGATGGTGATATATGGTGATAGTATCTTATATGAACACTTATAGGAATGAATGAATGAGGCTGTAAATTCTCACATTAAAATAAGATTTCTTCAATTTCATTGCAAAAGACATAAAACTAAGCAAATTCATCATGAGCAATTCACAAAAGTGTCATCACAAGAATGCTTCCAGGCTATACTATAAATCCAGAAAGAATAGAAACTTAAAAGCCTGTTTCATCAAGCGTCGAGTGTTTTAGCATTTTAGTTCCTGATTCAAGCTGCTTCCAAATTTAGAAGGGGACAAGCTTCAACTTTGCAAGGGACTGCTTCTTTTCACACACCCACGCACTCACCCCAAAAAAAAAAAAAAAAGAAAGGAAAATCATTCATATTTTAGTAAATTTTACTATTGCTTTCTGATATCACTGTTGGAAATTTAATTAAAACATACCTTGACAGAATTGTAATGGATTACGATGCATGAGTTCTCTCTCTTTGGAGTCCCAAAGCTTCCATAAGAAAACCGGCCATCTTTCTTCATAGACAACCAATGAGTTAAGCCAAGTTGGAACTCTTGCTTTAGAGATGGTCACATTACTAAATGTAACAAGAGTTCCTTAACAAACAATAATGCCAAACAAACTGTTGTGACTTTGTAAATCCTTTATTGTTCCATTATTTCAGATTCAAATTCATCATCAACCACTATATGGTTATCATAAAAAATAACGGCTTGTTTGCTTCCCATTCTTATTTTCAACCCCAGCTATAACCTGGATCCTTGATGACCTGCTTATCAATCATCATTTTTCTAACAGCCGATGCATCATCCCATCTTCCTGAGGAGAAATATATATTTGACAGAAGAACATAAGGGGTAGAGTTTTGCGGGTCCAGGCGGAAGAGCTCCTCTGCTGCTCGTTTCGCTAAGGTCACATTACCATGAACTCTACAAGAACTAAGCAGGACCTCCCATATAATTGGATCATCCTTACAAGGCATCTTATCTAAAAATACTTCTGCTTCACTGAACCGACCTGCACGGCCCAGAGAATCAATTACGCAAGTGTAATGATCCACAAGTGGCTCCACTCCATGTTCTAGCTGCATTGAATTGAATATTCTGATCCCAGTATCAACTAAACCTGAGTGGCTACAAGCAGTTAAAACAGAAACAAAGGTAATGACGTCAGGTCTTTCACCTGATCCAATCATGTCTTCATAGAGACAAACAGCCTCATCACCACGTCCATTCTGAGCATACCCATATATCATCTCATTCCAAGTAACACTATTTTTACAGGGCATCATACCAAAAAATTGCCGGGCTCCATCTACATCTCCACATTTACAATACATATCAATCAGAGCACTCCCCACAAAGACATCATTTGTGTATCCATCTTTGGCTATCTTTGCATGAACTTGTCTTCCTTGAGACAAAGAAGATTGTTTTGAGCAACAAGTCAACACTGTAGCATAAGAGAATTGAGTAGGAAACATCCCCTGTCCAAGCATTTGCCTAAAGAAAGTGAAAGCTTCCTTGTCCAGAGAATTGAGTGATAAACCTGATATCATAGCATTCCAACAGACAATATCCAATTCAGGCATTCTATCAAAGATACATTTTGCTTCCTCTGTCTTATTGCACTTTGAGTACAGGCCAATGAGCCCACTAGCAACATACACATCTGTATGAAGGAAAGCCTTTAATGAGGCAACATGGACCTGTTTTCCACCCTCCAGAAGCCCCAACCCCGCACATGAGCTGAGAATAATAGCCAAAGTAGTCCGATCAGGTTGGATACCTCGAAATTGCATTTCTCTAAAAAGTTTTATTGCCTCTCTGTGGTTTTCATTCTGGGAATATCCCGAGAGTAGAGCATTCCATGAACTCAAGTTCGGGCATGCCATTCTTTCAAATATCTGACGCGCGGTTTTAATATCCCCAGATATGATACATGCTGCTAGCATATTAATGTAGGTTCTCTCATCTGGTTCAAAACCCTGACTTTGCATTTTCTGCATATACTTTATGGCTTTGCCAGTTTGGTAATTCTGGCCATACCCACCAATCATAACATTCCAAGAAACAACACTAACTTCTGGCAAATTAGTGAAAATCATCTCGGCACTGTCCATGTTCCCATTCTTTGCATACATATCAAGCAATGAATTATTCAAGTGAAGATCTCTTTCAAATCCAAGTTTGATCGTGAGGCCATGTATTTGTTGGCCATGAAGAGAACTCGAAAACCCATCAGTCTGATTAGGGACTTCTCGGGTTCCTCTCGCACAAACACCCAGAACACTTGACAATGAAATAGAATCGATACAAATTCCAGTTCTATGCATCAATCTAAACATATTAAAAGCCTCCTCAGCTCGATCAGTCTCCGCTAACCCACCCATCATTGCTGTGAAAGAAACCTCGTTAAGCTCGGGCAAGTCCTCAAGCGCTCGAATTGCATCCCCAATAAGCCTACATTTTGCATACATGGACAACAAAGCATTACCCACATACATATTTTTGTCAAGACCTACTTTAATACTGACACAATGACACTCCCTACCACATTCCATATCTACCAAAGCACCACAGGCACTCAAAACACTAGCCAACGTAAAACGGGTAGGAATCAAACCTTCCATGTTCATCATATAATAAACATCCAACGCTTTCCGGTCAAACCCACTTCGAACTAATGCACTTATTAATGTGTTCCACGAAACAGTGCTTCGCTCCGGCATTTCAACAAACAATTCATGTGCATCTTCTAACCTCTTTGCTTCGCAGTACCCATGTAACATAGCATGCCAAGAATAAATGTTTTTCTGGGGCGTTTGATCGAAGATGAGACGAGAGGTATTGATCTGACCACATTTAGAATAGAATTCAACAAGGCGGTTCAAGAGGAAGGTGTTGGCGAAGAGGCCAATACGGAGGATACGGGCATGGAGGAGCTTGCCTGCTAGGTGGGCTTTCTTGTCTATGCAAGACTGCAAGAGGTTTGACAAATAGGTGATAGTCTTGCTTTCCATTGTTAGATGATGAACCAGGGTACATATTTGAAATTGTAGAGATGTTGGCACATTATATCGACATTGTTGTTGTACTTTTACGCGAAAAGCAAAAAAATAAATAATAAATAATTTTTTAATAATAAAAAATAAATAAAAAAAAAAACCATTCTTGTTCACTCCTTCCAAAACCATCTTATACAAAATAAAAATGTACATTATTAATTTAAGAAAAAAAAATTATGGATAATTTATAAATTATACTATTATTTTTCTTTCAAGATGGTAACACCTAAGCCATATAATACGGGAGCGCAATAGCGGCGAAATATAAAATTAATTGAGAGCGAGAGTGTCTTGAGAGCGTCGGTATATTATATATTTTATATTTATATAATTATTTTATTTGAAATATAAGTATATTAAGGGCTGCAAATTAAGCCCATGCTACTTATTATATTATTGGCCCAATTAATAATTTAATATTTAGAAGTTCATTTTATTAACTAAAGAGCCCAATAGCCTAAGTTATAGTTTAATCACAACCATTGGATCACTTTCCTACTTAAGAGTTATAGAGAACCCTAAAATCCCACACCTAATGAAGCTACACCCTTTTCAACTGTCTGAAGCCACCCCAAATGGCCAAAGAAAGGGTCGGCACCTCATCGAAGAGCATCCCGCTGCTAACACCTTTCCTTCGGCAACCAATTTGAAACAAAATCCCTGAACTCCATCTTCAACAACAGGACCCACAACCACTGCAACTTCCTTTCTGAGGCTATCACTTTGCAATGGAAACCTTAAACTCCATATGCAAAGAGAATGCTATCTCGATCTCTTTCTGATATGATAACTGAGGTAACTATAGATTGATGGTCATCTCTACGAAGAAAAAAGTATTGCGAATTCTGTGATTTTGTACGGATTCGCGAATTTTGAAAATGAGTTCACGAATTCTCAAAACTGAGTTCGCGAATTTATGCCGTTTTCGCTCCCAATTCGCAAATACGCGTACGGAACTCTGACTCGTCACCCAATTAAACAAATCCTGTGACTTAGGGTAGCACTAGACCTATAGTCTAAGAAGCTAATGGTACCCATATACGTGTCGAATTTCAATACTTTTGAGATAATCACAAATTAATACATTTTGGATACTTTTTAAACGTATTTATAATTATACTTTTAAGATATTTTATAATTCGTAGTAACACATTTTAACTATTATGTTATTAATTGATAAAAAATATATATATGTATATATATATATAGATATATATTTATCATTTTTCCCGTATCAATATCAAAACAATACCTTACAAAATTTTCTTTTGATAGTCATCTATTATATAAATAGGTCTAAAAATCATTACCAACATAAAAACTGAAGTTATCATGATAAGAGTATGAACTCTTCATTTATTCTTAACTTTCAAATTAAAAGAATCTTTGTGATTTGTGAAAAAAAAAAAAAAAATAGAAATCTTCTAATTAAAAAAATAATAAATGGACAATAAAGAAAACAGGACGAGGACAAGTACTGTACAACTAGAATATTGCAGTCTTGCTTACTATTTGTTTCTTTTGCCCGCCATATTTCAAGCCATGAAATCTACAATTGCCAAATTTTTGCATAATTGCATTCTTTATTCTGAAATTCTCACATGTAAGTAGCAATGCAAGTCTGAGAATTGGGCACAAATTGAAACAATGATAAAAAAATTCCAAATTCTTTAAATAAATGAAATAAAGCTAATCTATTTCTTGATAAAGAGAAATTTACAAGAAAAAGATTAGAAATTTAATAAACAACAGTGGAAAACAACAACAAAATGATAGAAAGGGTGAAAAACCAACAAAAATCAAAATTTTCCTCCATTGTCTGCTTCACTCTTTATTCCATATCCGTCATCAGTTTGGATGAGCTGATTGATGTTCTTCGAGATCATAGGGTTTGATTGGAGTCCATGGTCATGTGCTAGGGTTTCAACGAATTGTTTAGAAATCAAACACTTCTCCTCTGAGTACAACTTCTCTTGGATTAATGGTGATGCCACAAGATTTTGAAGTTCTTGTGTATCCAATGGTTCCTCATTTGTCTGCACAAAGAATTCACCAATGCTGTTCATATTAGTAGATTAAAAATTGCGCGTAAATATCATTTTACAAACTTGCTATAAAGAACAGGAATATATATATATATATACACATATGTGGGTGTACATTGTCACAAGTCTTTTGACAAATATCTTGACTTAATTTTTTGTTTACCTCAAATTTTTCATTAAACTTAACAATGATAGATAAATTTGGATCGAAAAATTGTAGAAAATGATTCAGAAAATTTAGCTAATTCATATAATTTTCCTTTTCATTAGCTGAAAATTAATTTTGATCAAATGTGAAGTTAGCTAATACAATAAAATAAAGTCCTCTTTTTCATTTTTGATGGTAAAAATGGTAGGAATAAGTGGTTAGAGGGAAGGGGAGAGTTGCAAGCTTGAAGATGAGCTTTTAAATAAGGAGAGCAACCCAATCACTAGGACAACACAATCCTATGACATTGTATTAAGCTTCAAAATAGGCTTTCAAACACGGGAAGCAACCCAACCACTTCGGCAACACGATCTTATAACACTAAATTTAATGCTTCATTAGATTAAATAACATGTAACTTTAAAAAGATTATTGGAATGGAACACATGGAAATAATTACTGAAAATTAAGAATAAATAAAACCAAAACACATTAAATAAAAACAAAATTACCTGAAATGAGGCCATGGATTCGAAAATTCCAACTTGTGCCTGCAAGTACTTGATATAATTGAAAGCAGCGTGGAACATTTCAGCAGTGTTCATCTTGTGGCCACCAGGAATAAGCTTCCCAAGCTCTTGAGTCTTCTCTGTTATCTTCCTCCTCCTCTGCCGCGCAGCGACGCTCTGCGCGGTCGAGCTCCCTCCATTCGGTTTCCTCACACTCTCAACACTACTCCCACAATTATTAGCCAACGGAGGAGGACTCTGAAACTCCGGTAACGGAACAAAAAGTTCCGGTGAGAGCAAACACGGATTTGGAACACACCCATTGTAGAAACCATTCACGAAGTCCGAATAAAAGCAGTCTTCATAGCTCTTTTGGCGTTTTGGGTACGGATAGTGCTCGAATTCTTGTAGCGGAACGAGTTCAGGAGTGAGAGAGTTGATATGGTCCATTGGAGAAGACAAGTACGGCAGGAGATGGGTCTCATCTGAATAAAAAAACTGATCGTCGTGCTCGAAGAACGGATCAATACAAGTGTCTGACACTTCAAGGCTGTCATAGAAGCCAAGTAGTTCTATGGGCAGCTCTGGTTGTGCTTGTGGAAACACACTCATGTCTGGATTCAGATGTCCCCAGTTGGAGCAATAGCTCAAAGCCATGAAATTAATAGAAACTGAGAAAAAAGAAGAAAAATTGACTATCATTCTACATACGATACACAAACAGAGAATTGAAATCTTTTACTAGTTGAAGATATATGAAATTGAAGATAAAACTTTTCTTCTAACAGAAGAAGTTGCTACAAAGCTTCATACAACTCATAATTAAGCAAAACACAGCGTGTGCCAATAATTTGAGTATTGTTAGCGAATTTACTAAGTAAGAAGAGTAGTTGGTGTGATAAAAATACAGAAGTACTGCATATATATATAGACAATATATATATAAATAGGCATGAGATGAGAAAGATGAAAGTGTGTGTGTGTGTGTATATATATATATATATATATGATAAATATAGACATTGTTAGTGTAGTGAAGTGAAAAGACATGGAATAAAAATAAAGAAAGCCATTAGACAGTGAGAGAGAGATACCTGAAGAGAAGATATTGTCCTTAATTTGTTGTGTATTGTTTGTTGAATGACAGTGGACCTATAGAAGTTAACCTTATCAAACTACACAAACTAACACTGCAATGAGAGAGAGGAGAGAGATAGAGAGAGAGAGAGAACGTGGGGAAGTTAGTGAGGGTGGGAGATGAATGAGGTGGTGGTGATAAGTACAGAAAGGGTAACTGAACTCCTAATAATGAGGAGGACACGTGGCATCCTTTTTGTGTTCTCTAGGGTTTTAATCCCATGGAGGTTACGGGCCTTTTTGTATGGTTATTGGCGGCTCATTATTTCTAATTACTAGTCTATTATTATTAACCCAGCCGTTACTTAACTAGTGAAATTAAAAAACCAAATATAAAAAAAAAACAATGATTTGGGAGTTACACGAGTGACCCGAGAGAGACAATATTGCCCTTTTAGATTTTCTCATATATTGCTGCTCTCTTTGCATGTCGTTTCATGTTCTCTTAATATGAAAATAAGAACTTGAAAAAATTATTTCCACCAACATCCTTACCCTCCATTATAATTATTTCCATGTTTGGTTATAATTTTCAAAACAAATATGAATGGAAAAAGAAGATGTAGAATTTGACAAATTCCGACTCATATCCGCTCAAATAATAATATAGCGTTATTTTATGCAACATGACTAATTTTGCAGTCAAATCCATCTTCTTAGGTTTTTTTCTTTTCAAATAAATGCAAAAGAGAAAAATATGAAGGAAAAAAAAAATGCAAAATGAGAAAATGGACAGTAGAGAAGAAATAAATGTTGTATTTAATCTAGGCCCAAAAATAATAATAATAATAACAATAATTAAAAAATTAAAAAAAAAATTTCTAGGCCCAAAAAGTCCAACATTACAACCAGTATTGTTTAATAAGTGAAACCCAAGGTCCGATACGACTAAGTGATTTGATGGTATGGCCAAGACCCAAGAGCGCTTGGGCTAGAGTCAACAAGATGTCTCATTGGAATACCACTCCCAAAAACAGTTTGGACTTGGACCAACCCAGAGATTTTCTTGTTCCATTTATTGGCCCAAAAATACACGAAGAATAATCGACATTGTTTTATTTAGTTTTGTACTCTGTATTTGGGTTTTTTAATCAGGAAAAAGCAGTGTCATTCATTTTATTTGCCGGAAATTTTTTAAAAAAATCATTTTTATTTATTTATTAACGACTGGAACGATAAGTTTGGCACAATAATCTAACTGATTGTCACGTGTCAAGACAATGCTGGCCACGCGCTTTTCAGATTTTTCTCGATAAAGTAACTGTTACCTAGCTTATTGGTAGCAACTAACAACCTAAAATCCTAATTTATTGGATAGAGGTTACAACTAAAATACTATTGGGTGCTACACTATTACACATTTATTTATCTTTTTTAAATACTAAAACTTAATCTTTTTATTTTGTTAGTAAATTCGTCAAAGTATACAAAACGTAATCTTTTTTATTTTCCAAACCTGTAAAACCTCATACGGTCACACCTAGTTTATGGCATATTAAAAAAACATTATATTTGATTTATTTTGCTTAAAGGTAATATTACGTGTTATAAGTGTAAATAAAGATATAATATTACGTGTTATAAGTTAACCATAATTACACACTACTATTATTATTTTGTCAACTTATGAGAGTTTTTATTAAATTTAATTTAGATTATTCATTTATTTTGAATTATTATTTAACTTAACAAAAAATTCTTACTTTTTTTTTTCCCGAAGATTTGAACTCTCTAATCTTCAATTTTTTTATCTTAAAAGATTAAAAATTATCACTAAACTACAAATTTATTATTTCACTTAGTATTTAAGTTAAAAATTTAGGCAGAATTGGTAATTCTGTTATTTTTAATTGATCAATGCGTGTAAAATTTTTTAAAAAATGGAAATACTTCACTTCCTTATCTCAAGCATTAATAATAAAGTAAATATATTTAATCAAACAATTATATCTAGTTCTTCATTCCAAATATCGTTATTATTAGGTCACCAATGACTTGTATGCCTAATTCATCCAATAAATTCACTGTTTATTTGAAGGGTAAATATTTTTCCTCCCGTTATATAATATCAAATGAGGCCGCCCTTTGAGATTTCGCCATGATCACACTGAAATTTTAAATATTATTATTATTATTATATATAAATATATATATTCACTAAGGATGAAGTTCCCTATTATAAAGCTATGAATATCAAATAAGGCAATCTTTTGAAGTTTTTTTTGTTTGAAAGGAAAATATGGAATGAAACGTATAAAAACACGATATTTCAACTTTAGTCACTATTTACATACTGTTTTTATATAATAAGAAATAAAATAATTTTTACTAAACATATTCAATATTCACTGCTATAACATAGGACAACAATAAAAATATAAAAATAAAACACCAAACAAACAAGTCTTGAATCTTCGTGTGTTGTAATCATGCTGATTGTGCTGCAGCGTAATAAGTATTCAAAAGTGGACTAGAAGAATATAATCTAACAGATCGAGTTGATCTCCGCGCATGCAAAACTGGTGCGAGTTTTTCAAATGGTGGGCCAAAGGTTAGCTTCCATGCAAGCTCCAATTGTAGAAATGAATTTGAACCACAAAATATTTTATAATTAATTTGTGATTCTTACAATATTTTATCAAATGAAAAGGAAAAGAAAAATAAGAGTATTGAAGTGTTGCTTTAGTTTATCTATCTTTATTAGATATAGAAGTTGTATAGTTTAATATTATTCCTAATTTTGATAGAAAAATTTCAAACAAATTCATATGATTTTGACAGTATTTTATGGTGTATCAATAACTGTTATAGGCTGCACTTGACTATGACTCGTTTCAATCTGGGGCTACTATTGTTCAGATTCTGCACTTCACTCTGTTCAACCTCTCACATTTGAAAGCAATATAACAACATATGGACAATTTAGAACAGACAATATTTCAAATTTCCATTCATAAATGGCAAAATTCTAGGATTCCATGGAAGCTCCGGTTGGTATCTTGATTCCTTTTGAGTACATTTTCAATCATTCTCAGCAAATGGCGGAATCAGTTCATTATGATTCGAAATTCAAAAGTCTGATGTATCGGATTGTTTAACGTGAGTAGAGCTGATTTTATTATATATGATGACATCATTTCTTACTTACATAAATTTAATTAGATATCTGACTATCTAACTATATATCATTACTCATATACATATGCACGTACATATGACCGTTTGGCAGGGAGTTTGAAATCTCTTCGGAGTGTCCTCAAATTTCTGGTATGATTGTTGGATTATTCTTTGGACCTCTCATCATCGACTTTTCAAAACTGCTATCAATTTTTAGACTTCATTCTTCAATAATACTAGTCTACATAGAATGTACAACTATCGGTTGATAACGATATATATTCCACTTCTTATGAAAATACAAGAAGCGAAGTGTTGAATTGTGTTTCTTTGAAATTTTCTTTGTCCTCATTTCATGTGGATGTGCATGAATCTAGATGCTTGAATTATGACATTATGGCAGATAAAACACAAAGGGTTTTAAACCCATGTTCACATTCTCTTGGTCTTCAAACGATCTTTTACAAAAATACAATAAATAGCAGACCATTATATCCAACTACCATTATATCAACAAATGAGGTCTCCAACTACTAAATTGCTTTCTCTGCTTCTTGTTTTTATCTTCTCAATTTCATCGACAGTTTTAGCACATACTCATGAAGATTTTCTCCAATGTCTTTCCCTGCAATCTCAAAACTCCACATCATCAATCTCCAAAGTCATTTACTGTGATACCCCTAATTTTGGAACACGGATTGATCAAGTCCGCGCACAAAATCAAGGGATATCAAAACAATTTAAGTATTTAACAAGCACAGAATACAAAGATGAATAATAAAGAATAAATAAACCGCTGAAGAAAACTAATAAATAAATATTACTTAATGATTCTCCAACAATTACAATTCGGAAATCCCATAACTCAAGGACCCCTTAAAACATTATCCAATAATCCAATACTATTTAAAAGTACACAAGATGAATAGACGAATGACAGTCTCCCAGCTGCGGATCCTCAACCTCGAGACTGGAACCTCTAATAACCTGAAAAATAAATCGTGGGTTAAACCCTACGAGCAAGTTCACTCTACCAGGCCTCTGAAAACCAATAAGCAGATCATCTCTGATCAAAACCAAACCTAATAAAGTTTTAACTTTAATAAAGCACGATATACATGTCTATATATAATTATATATACTATACTAATCACATCCATTAATAGGTTTATTAAATTTCCATACCTATTAAATAATTATTAAAATAATATTCATACCTAGACCAATCTACCATTTCATTTTATAAAAACTCCTTTGACCTTAATCCCATCCTAGTCAGTTGTCTAATCATTTAAACAACAAATTATAATAAAAGAAATACTCTATTTAATCCCAACCCGATAATGATTTAAATTGTTTAAATCACATATCCAAAATCCAAATTTTGACAAATCATCCACGTCTTCCCCAATATTATTTTATTAATGTAAAATAATACACTAACCAGTAAGTACTAAACTATTCTCATTTAAGAATATCTAACCCTAATCCAATCCATACATACAACAACCATAGATGATATTTTAATCATCTAACACATAACAACGTAATTATGCTTTGGCAAATCAACCATGCCATTGTAAATATTTTTATTTATATATTGGCAATTCAACCATGCCTCCATAAGTATATTTATTTATACATTGGCAATTCAACCATGCCTCCGTGTATGTATATTTATACATTGGCAATTCAACCATGCCTCCACAGGTATATTTATTCATACATTTAATTAGCAATTCATCCATGCTTTCCATATATGTATTCTATTCATACAAATATTTAGGTAATATATTTAATCATTTGACAATTCATCCATGCCCACACTTTAACCATGAATTAACTTTAAAATTAACAATACGCTAAATCATACATAGCCATCACATGCATATTATACGCATATCATTAATTTAACAACCAGCCTATTAAGATATGCCAAATAAGAATGATAATATTAATCATCTTAAATGATTTATATATATATATACCTACACATATGTTATTTAATGTATATATATGTGTTTAACACCTTCTTTAATAATCATTGATTATTTAAAATCAATATACATACATACATACATATATATATATATATATACACACACACACTTCCTTCCATAACAAATTATTAATTTATTATATTTACACAAATTAGTGTAACTAAATATGTCAGAAATAGTTTCCTTTAAATACTCCATATTGGTTTAAATAGTTTTCCGACACTTTCTCACTAAAACATAAATATCTCCTAGTAGGATGGGAATCTGATAATGAAATTGGTACCATTGGAAAGAAGACGAAAAATCCTTGAATTTGAGCTCAAGAATGACCCAATTTCGATTTAAAATGACTAAGTTATGACCGTTTTAATTTCTAGTGTCGAATTAGGCCAACATAGTTTCCCACGCGCGCCCACGTGCTTACTATGCACTTGCACGCGCTGGATTCAAGCCTCCTTGTGTGCTGGTATTGGCTAAGCTCTTTCAGCTACCGTGAGCTCACCCCACTGAATCCATCACTTCCTTTATGCCGCATCCAATGGTCATAAATGAGTGCGCAAATGAACACGCTCACACTAGATTATTTTCTATTAACTATAATAGATCTAAGGTCCAGATCAGCGAGTGCACCATCTTCTCATGGTCTGCAATACACCAAATAATCCCATAGTTGACCAGACCACTTCTATGGTCCAGATACACATGCGCACCAAAGTTTTATGCGCCGCGATGCACCATATCAATTCACATAAGTTTAATTAATCAAATGGCCCTAATTGGCGTATACACCCTATTATCCTACACCGCGCCGCACTGGATCAATTCTTTATTGTGCCGCCGCTCCACATGCGCCAGTTACCTAGTATATATATATATATATATATTATTTTCCTAACAAATAATAGGAAAATAAATCCTAATAAATTCCTAAAAATATCAGAAAAATTTCAGAAAATTACAGAACAATTCTAGAAAATAAAGAAACCATAATTAACTCTCTTGGGTCACAAATCCACCTATAGATTGATTTTAAAATATACATAACACCTATATATATCAATTAAAATCCAATAATCTAAAAATCAAATATAATAGTTTATACTTTTTAATTATTCCGATCTAACCATAATTTTTAAACAAATAAATTTAATTAAAGCCTTGATACTCAAGGTGAAATCCTTATGAGTTCTAAGAGGAAAGTTAGAGAAAACTCGCCTGAAGGTTTCGAAACGAAGCCGACGCTTTAAGCTTTAATTATCTCTTCCAATTCCGACGTCCTCCTTTTCAGATCCGACCTCCTCCTTGTCAGCCCTTCTTCTTCCTCTCTCTCTGTCTGTTTTATTTTTCTAACGTGTAAAACCTTTAACCCTAAAGCCTTATGTGTATTTTTATACACCTTAAATTCCAAATCCTATTCCAACTAGTATTATGAATTAAAATAATAATCTTTAAATAATTTATATCTATAAACATATATATATATAAATATATATTCCTTCCATAATTAACTCATTAGTTAATTAAATCATATATACTTATAAATATCAATAAATATATATCTATATATATATCTTTCCATAACAATTATTAATTAATTATATTTATATATAATTATATATATATATATATATATATATATATATAATTGATACAAAAGTGATCATTTAAATAATTAAATAACCACGGACCTTCATTAATTAACCCAATAAGGTTTCATACAAGCCCAAGACCACATCTTTTGGTCCAACTTTCCTTAAGCCCAATCCAATTAATTTAAATAAATAAGATAATTAATTAAATACAGAAATTAAAATAACTAATTACATGAAGCTCATAAACAAACAAGAATTTACAACTAAGTCATATAATACCAATAAAATCAACACACCAATAATTCAATCAATAATCAACCACACAAACAATCAATCATCATACATAATTACGAAATATAACTTAATTAAAATAAGATAATTAATCTAGCACTCAATAAAATAAAATAAATCATTGAAAAATAAAATAAAATAATTAATCCTAATTAATAAATCTTTTAAAATTATCGGGGTATTACATTTACGCACCAAACAACTCTTCATATTCATCCATCTTGCACTTCTCAATACAAAACCAAAGATTCAACACAACCTCCACCCCAAAACCTCTAGTCATTGTCACACCATTAGATGAGTCTCACATTCAAGCAGCCATATCATGTTCCAAGCAACACGGCATTCAAATCAGAGTTCGCAGCGGAGGACATGACTACGAAGGCCTCTCCTATGTTTCTGAAATCCCATTCATCATTCTTGATCTAGCAAACCTCCGATCAGTCACCATTGATGTTGAAACTAGCACGGCGTGGGTACAATCCGGTGCGACTATTGGTGAACTCAGCTATAGAATTGCTGAGAAAAGTAGAACTCTTGCCTTTCCTGCAGGCCTTTGCCCTACAGTAGGTGTTGGTGGACACTTCAGTGGGGGAGGGTACGGCACATTGATGCGAAAACACGGCCTTTCTGCTGACAATGTCATTGATGCTCGATTCATGGACATGAATGGAAGAATTCTAGACAGAAAATCAATGGGAGAAGACCTTTTTTGGGCCATTAGAGGAGGTGGGGGTGCTAGTTTTGGAATCATCCTAGAATGGAAAATAAAGTTAGTTCCTATTCCATCAAATGTGACAGTTTTCACAATCCACAAGACCGTAGAGCAAAATGCAATCAAGCTTGTCCATAGATGGCAACACATTGCACACAAGCTTGATGAGAACCTATTCATCAGAGTCATTATAAGCAGAGTGAATTTTAGTCAACCTGAGAACAAAACCACACAAGCCACATTCAATTCATTGTACCTTGGTGGAATTGATGAGCTCATTCCATTGATGCAACAAAGCTTCCCTGAGTTGGGCTTGGTTGAACAAGACTGCACTGAGATGAGTTGGATTGAGTCTGTCCTCTATTTTGCAGATTATCCAATTGGAGAGTCCATTGATGTTTTGTTGGACAGGACACCTCTGGTTAGAGCTTCCTTCAAAGCAAAATCAGACTATGTGAAGGAGCCAATTTCCGAAACCGGGCTAAAAGGGATATGGAAAAGGTTCCACGAGAAAGAAGCTCAGTTTGCTCAGATCATGACCCCTTATGGAGGAAGGATGAGTGAAATTGCCGAGTCTGCAATTCCGTTTCCTCATAGAGCTGGGAATATATACAAGATTCAGAACATAGTGTATTGGGTTGAAGAAGGGGCAGAAGCAGCTGAGAGGCATATAGGTTGGATGAGAAGGTTGTATAGGTACATGACTCCTTATGTTTCAAAGGGTCCAAGAGCAGCATATGTCAACTATAGGGATCTTGACATAGGAGTGAACAACAATGGGAACACAAGCTATGAACAAGCAAGCATTTGGGGTGTTAAGTATTTCAAGAATAACTTCCATAGATTGGTACATGTGAAGACCAAAGTTGATCCTGGGAACTTCTTCAGGCATGAACAAAGCATTCCACCTCTAACTTCATGGAGGGAGAAGAAAGAGGACTAATTAAAGGTCCTTGGGCACAAAAGAAATTGGCTAGCTATGTAGAGTTTGTAACAAAATTAAATGTGTTTTTTTTTCCTCCTTTTGTGTGTGTGTGTGTGTGTGTAATGTAGGGATCAAAAAAGGTTCAGGGATATTGCATAGTTGTTTTTTTTTTTTTAGTTTTATTATATGGTACTCATGTTTAAAATGAAGTTTCAAATTATGTTGCGATTGAGAGCATCAAACTGATGCTTATAATTTAAATTGGAGAAAATTTAATTCAAATTTTAAATTAATTTTTTTCTGATTTTATTCTCAAGATCAATTCCGTGCCCCCAAACTCGGTCATATATATATATATAGAGAGAGAGAGAGAAAAGAAAGAAAGAAAGAAAAAAGTTAGAATATTCACATTTACTTAAGTTTTCTTGATTTTCACTTTTGTGTTTTTTAAGTTTCGACACTTATTTCATCAGCATTTAGAATTTGGCAGGCATATAATTTTGGAAGTTCTCTCTCCCACATACAAACACACACAAATCATGGAAGTACATGTATCTCCCCTAAAGTCATTTAAAAAAATGATGAAATCAATCTTCAGATATCAAACAAAAATTGAAAACCAAACTTCATATGTTTAATCCATAAAAAAGTTAGGATTAAAAAAATCCATAAAAAAGTTATTAATCCTTTTGAAGCATAACCTACATTAAACTGAAGTTCAAGAATATCTATAGTTCTATACCCTAGAAACTGCAGTGCAGGGCCTCTTGAGTGGGCCAAGATGTGACCAGCACGGTCTCTGATTAAGTGTTGAATTTGAGGAAAGGCCCAACTCAACATCGTTCAACTACAAGCCCACCAACAATAGTTGAACTACACAGGCCTTGAGCTGGACCAACTGAATTTGAACATGTAGCTGCTTGGACGACCCTGTACCCCACTAGCTTTTCAATTTGCTAATGCTAAGGTGGTGTTTGACAAAATTACTCTTACATATATAGGGCGGAAGCCCACCCAAAAAAAATAAAAAATTTTACTTTGAAGCCCACCCAATTTTTTTTTTCTAATGGTAATTTTAGCGCAGAAAAAAAAAAAAAAATATATATATATATATATACACACACACACACACACCATGTTTGCTCGAGTAATACCGTGGTGAAGCTTGGGTTTGCTCTAATGATGTGGTGGCATTATCTAGTAGAGGAAGCAACAAGTAGTATATTAATATTAATTTTATAAAATTCACACGAAAAAAAAGTCATTAATTATTTGTACTGTTGTCGCATAAGTTGCAACCTCTATTATTAATAGAAAAATAACCTTTGAAGCTTCCAAGTGCTACACCAAAAAAGGCATCCTAATTCCTATTGGAAATAGATGATGAAACACATTAATTTTTTTTTGGTATGTAACATCATTAGTTCTAGTAGAACAAATTGCAAATAAGGTTAATGGATGATATTATTCGAGCAAACATGATATATAAAAGAGTAATGTTATTAAGGGTGTCCTCTTTAAGTACATTGATGAGTTTTATTCTTGTAGTCAATTTTCATTTTTATTTTTATGTTTTTTCATGGCAAAAATATTAGTGTTTAGTAATTAATTGTTAGAGTGAAGAGAGAGGGAAATGATGCAAGACTTGAATACGGGCTTTCAAATACGGAGAGCAACTCAATCAAGTATTTCTAGTTAGTACTTAATAAATTTTGAACTTTCTTTAATCATTATACTATATTATAATTGTTAGAAGTCGTATTGTAATATTTAAAACTTGTTCAAAATGTGTTTTGAAGTATGAAAAAAATATTGAATACATAGTAAAATTTCCGAGACAAACACATTTTCATGAAGTGGTCCAAATTGAAACTAAATGATGGACACAGACTGGCAAATGAGAATTAATCTTCTGGATAATCATTACTTGTGATTGATTTTCAACCCATTATTATTTTAATTTTTAAAAAAAAAAAAAACAATAATTGATGTGATTGAATGAAAATTAAGCACAAGAGTCTCTGGGTATTTGAATTAGTTTTTAACTAATTATTAGGGCGACTGTTGTTGGACAATTGCGTTAGCGCTTTTTGTTGAAATGAATGAAGGTCGTCCCTTCTGGATATAGGTACGTCATAGTTGAGTTTTGCAAGTTTACCGGCCTCAATATTGGGTCAAACAAAACCATCACTTTTTAACAAGTTTCATAAACCAGCCTCACGCAGATACACACTCATAATTATATATATAATAAAAAACATAATAATATTATTCAAATCTTAAAATAAACTGACTAACCAACAATAATATTCAATGTTGTAACTTTCGAGAACATATAATTGAGATGAGAGCTAGATTTAATATATCTATTGAATGTATTGAAGTGGACCAGTATAAAATGAATAGTAGTACGTAATTAAAATAAGAATCATTAATTTGTTTCTGTACTGAAATGCATTGGAGTGAATCGTTTTTAAAGGATTAACTATATAATAAAAAACATAATAATATTATTCAAATCTTACAAATAAACTGACTAACCAACAATAATATTCAATGTTGTAACTTTCGAGAACATATAATTGAGATGAGAGCTAGATTTAATATATCTATTGAATGTATTGAAGTGGACCAGTATAAAATGAATAGTAGTACGTAATTAAAATAAGAATCATTAATTTGTTTCTGTACTGAAATGCATTGGAGTGAATCGTTTTTAAAGGATTAACTATTATTCAATTATAATGTACGTTGTTGACATGAACTCTATATATAAGTCCTTTTAGATGATTTTGGTGTAACTATATTTTTATTTTTTATAAACGATTGTGTACAATAATTTCAGATTGAAGTAATTAGTAGCTACGAACTTCAGGTAAATATTAATGTCAAAAATGTTTAATGTGTGGAAATTAATCAATACTGTATTGTAGGTTTATCATTTAGCTAGGCACTGCCTTTGGACCATCTTATATTATAAATTAGAGTATTATCAATATCTAGATTTGACCATCTTATATTATAAATTAGAGTATTATCAATATCTAGATATGTGCTTCAATTAGTCAACTAAACAAATTCCTTTCAACAAAATGCTGATACAACATGGCATAAAAATAAAACATAAAAAAATTCATCAATTAAAGCCTTGACTTGACTTAGCTAGTAGTATGTATATCTATATGTATATCAAATGACTACTGTTAGACATTTTCTTCCATTTACAGAAATTGAAAATTCATTTCACATTCTCTGATTTTTTTTTTTGGTCTACAATTAAATAATCTCTCTTTCTATACAGATGGATCTCATGATCATGAGATGATGATATTAATATTTGTGTGTGTGTGTGTGTGTGTGTGTGTGTGAGAGAGAGAGAGAGAGAGAGAGAGAGCTATAAACAGTCGTTTGAATTCCATTTGGCAGAAGCTATGTTGAAGAAAGGCTGCAATACAAAAGAAAACAGAAGAGAAATTAGACAGGGATGATGAGATTGCCACATCACATGGGAGAGAACAGTGTTACGTACCCATCAAATCTTCCAAATGGTTTCTTTCTTGCCACTGCGTGTTTGAAACGTCAAAACATACCTAAACCATTTAAATACGGATTTAGCATAGAATATATATATATATATAAATGTTTTACATGAGACGTATATATGCATGACTAGAATGAATTTTTGAAGGTAATTAAACATATGATGTAAAAGTAAATTAAATTAATAAATTAGGAAAACTGTCTATACAAAAGGCCCTAAATGAGAAAAATTGAAGATTGATTTATTTTTTATCATATTTACTACAAAAATGAATACTGTTAAATTAGAAAAAAAAAATCACTTGGAATTAATTTATCATGACATTAAAGATCAACCTTCTTTGCTGTCTGCATTGTATTTAAATTAATTAAATAAGCTACTTCCGTTTTGATTCCAACAATCTATATGTGTGTGTTGTTCATAATCCAGAATAAACGGATAGATACATTAATAGCGAAAACTAAATCAACTTGGTAGATCAACTAAAAGATTTGATGTATTATATATCAAAATATTATATTTGATGTGTATAGATATATACACACACTTACACGCAGACGTACATAAAATGAGAATTTCTAGACTATGGCTGGACTATTTTGTGTAAATGTGTTTGTAGCAAAAACGATATGATTAATCTTTCTTGCTTGATAATGCAAGCTAGTGATTTAATTAGCACCAAATTGTGGACCAGGTTTTTTTTTTTCAAGACTTTTGTTCCAAATTTTCAATCTTCTTAAAAATTGTGATAAGAATTGATAAACACAATCCTCATTAAGGTCACCAAGTCAAGCTGGCCGGCAAACCCTATTAATTCTTTTGACCTCCCTTCAAGAACAGATTGTTTTTTAAAACAATAATTAATTGGTCTAAAATGATCTTCTGATCCTCGTCTCTACACGTCAACATTAAACTATGATACAGGTACATCTTTGATTTAGTCAAATCATTAGCGTATAATTTTACTTCTGTCATAAAATTTAATAGCATAAAAATTAGATATATTCATTTTTTATCATCTTCATAGAAGCTAGAGTTTTTGGTTCTCTAAGAATGGAAAATTTATTTTTAAGTTCAAAAATTAATTCCATTAGCATTTGTTTGAATATTAACTTTACTCTTGAAAAGAAAGTTTAAAAAAAAAAAAACAAACACACATAGTTTTAATATAAAAAATAAAAATAAAAATCTTTCATATATGTAAAAACAGAAAGAATTGAACCAAACACACCTTTATCAATACTGGATTATATACTCTTGATTGTATATGGTGGTGGTCCATTTTGTGCTTTGTCTGGTAAAGAATATATCCAGTACCTGGCATTTCAGCCCATGACAGTTTAACATCGATCTTTTTTTTTGGTGAGGAGGTTTAACATATCAATTTTACCATTATTCATTGGATTGTCATTTCAAAAAAAATTGGATTTTTTACTGTACAAAGCTGATTATGTAGCTTTACAGCCTGCTTTTCAGATTGTCACTGCAAGATACTACTGCATGAAAATGAGTTTACAAGGACGTACATATATGAAGTTTTCATTTTGGGTTAGCTAATTACTAGTACTAATACAATTACCCGTTATGGGACTTAAAATCTTACAGCCTTTTGAAAGAGGAGAGATTATACCATTAAGCTAATGACTCATATAATGATGTCATCTTGTAACACGTGCATAATTTGAAAGCGTCGGTATGATTACATTCTGGCAAGCAGGGGCTCGCTGTGACGACCACACTGAATAGGAGTGGTGCTCGCCGCATGGCAGTCCCTAACAGACTTGCAACAATTAGCAAGGAAACGGATTTTTAAAGCATTTGCTATTACTAAATTAATGTATATATAATTCTATCATCTTATCATTAAAAAATAATAATAGTAGTAGTAGTCAGTCCAATTATATCATTTCGACTCATTCGATTAGCCGCTTCGAATGAATAGCCTAATCAATCCAATAGATTTACGTGACTCTCTAAAAAAGGTCAAAAGTTGTCATTTGGAAGATGGTTAGCACACTGATTGGCCAAAATGTATATCTATGTTGTATGTTTTGTCATAGACTTAATTAATTAATAATTGAAATAAGCTTGTTTGATGAATGCATCTAAATATAAAAAAGACAGGGCTAACAAATTTAGGTTGTTATATTTTTTTAAGGATTTCTCGGCAACCAATGTAACATTAATCATATCTATAAAATTGGTTTTTAGGTTGTAAGTTGTTTATTTTGTTGTTGATGATATATGGCTTGGGTTGGTGGGTTTCTTTTTATGTTTGGGTTTGGCGGTGGTTGTCCAGCTGGAGATGGGGTTGGCTTGTGATTGTCTTTACTTTTGACATTATCTTTGCACAAGTCAATTTTTTCCTAACCTGAGGCCAGCTTTGCATCAACAACTAATGCATCCTATTTGACATTATGTAATATCATCATTAACCAATTATTTAAGAATTTCATCAATAACAACAGCAATTATAATAGATAATAACAAAGAAAATAATTGAAGTAGTACTTTGTGACCAAAAATAAAAAAAAAATTAAATTAAATTAAAGGTGGACCATCTTATAAATAACTAACTATTATTACCAACCGGAATGTCAACTGCTAATTTTGCCACGCTTCTTCAGTTTACTTTGAATTTTCAAAGGCCAGATGATGTGGAGATTTTGTACACAATCTTCCTATCCATTTAATTTTTTTTAAAAAAATTATTTCTATTATATGCCCTAACATGTCCTTATAAATTCTGCTTCCCCATGGATCAAAAAAACAAAATCACATCAACCCTAATCAGACACCAAAATGAGAACTTCAATCTTAGCAATAGCTTCATTGCTTTCAATATTCCTCCTACTATCTATTCCATGTGCAACTTCTTCTAATGATTCAGTTCATGAGGCCTTCCTCCAATGCCTTTACGACCAATCTCAACCCTCCAACCCTATCTCTGCAGTACTCTACACACCAAACAACTCCTCATTCTCATCTGTTTTACAATCTTACATACGAAACCTCAGATTCAATGAGACCACAACCCCTAAACCATTGCTCATTCTCACAGCCTTGGATGTGTCTCACATCCAAGCAGCCATTGTGTGCGCCAAAACCCATGGCCTGCAGATGAAAGTCCGAAGCGGAGGCCATGACTACGAGGGCGTGTCGTACTGGTCTGACAGCCCCTTCTTCATCCTTGACATGTTCAATCTCCGATCTGTTAATGTCAATATAAGCGATGAGACTGCTTGGGTTCAATCTGGTGCAACTCTAGGGGAAGTTTATTATGGTATTGCTAATAAAAGCAATACCCATGGCTTCCCTGCTGGGGTGTGTCCCACAGTCGGTGTTGGAGGCCATCTGAGTGGAGGTGGCTATGGTAATATGATGAGGAAATATGGCCTCACTGTCGATAACATTGTCGATGCTCAGATAATCGATGTCAATGGACGAGTTCTAGACCGAGCAGCAATGGGAGAAGACTTGTTTTGGGCCATCACAGGTGGTGGTGGAGTAAGTTTCGGGGTTGTTCTAGCATACAAAATCAAGCTAGTGGTTGTCCCAAGTATAGTAACTGTGTTCACAGTGGAGAGGACTTATGAACAACATGCAACAGATGTAGTCTACAGGTGGCAACAAGTTGCAGACAAATTGGACAACCGCATCTTCATTAGAATGATCATTGATGTTGTGAACAGCACTACGAAAACCGGAGAGAAGACGATAAGGGCTTCATTCCTCTCCTTGTTTCTTGGAGACTCCAAAACACTGCTCTCTCTCATGAACCAGAGCTTCCCTGAATTGGGGTTGAACCAAACAGACTGCATCGAAATGAGTTGGGCGGAGTCGGTGCTGTACTGGACAGGCTTCGCCAGCGGAACACCGGTTGATATACTGCTCAGTAGAACTCCTCAAGTACTCACGCATCTGAAGAGAAAGTCTGATTATTTGCAGCAACCAATTCCAAAAGATGGGTTGGAATTCATATTTCAGAAGATGATCGAATTGGAGAGGCCGGTTTTGACGTTCAATCCGTATGGAGGAAGGATGAGTGAGATTCCGGCGTCTGAAAAACCATTCCCACATCGAGCAGGGAACATAGCAAAAATACAGTATGCTACGAATTGGAATGAAGATGGAGTGGAGATAGCCAATCACTACGTAAACCTCACAAGAAAGCTTCATGGTTACATGACACCTTTTGTGTCCAAGTTTCCAAGGCAAGCATTTCTTAATTATAGGGATCTTGATATTGGTATCAATCACAATGGTCCTAACAGTTTCTTGGAAGGAGCTGTTTATGGGGTTAAATATTTCTTGGGTAATTACAACAGGTTGGTGAAAGTGAAGACTAAGGTTGATCCTGGTAATTTCTTCAGAAATGAACAAAGTATCCCAGTTCTTCCTTCTAGGAGGAAGTAACTACATATATATATATATAGCTTATTTTATTTGTGTCCTTGATTGTTCTTTTCATCTTCTCTCTTTTTTCTTTTTTTTTGAAAGGTATTGCTTTTTAGAAAAATAAGTTGATGCTTTTTTATTGTATTTCAAAACAAAGCTTTGTTATGTATACGAAATCTGAAATTGAATAATGTTTATTTTTTTTCTCTTCTTATTAGTTCCGTCTTCATCTTTTGGTCTTGTTACATATCCATCAAGTATTTTTAAAATTCGGTTTTGACCTACCTCTGTCGGTAAAAAATTAAGCAGGGTTTGTATTTGTTTGGACTTTTCATTTTCAGTCAATTTTTGATGACTATAGATCAATGGATATAATGCTATTACTATTTAGTATATGTTAATTCATATTTCCTTTGTATATAAGTAATGCATTTTTTTCTACTTAGAATGTCCGAAATTAATTGTCTCATTTAAAAAGTCAAAACAAAATAATGTTATCTTTATATTATCATTCTTTAAAATTTGAAATTTTTTTGAACTTGGTTATATACATATTTAAATTCAATAGAACAAATTAAAATTTTTAAAAAAGCGCAATGCATTTATTGCATGTCCTCGTAAAACTTCTAAATCCAAAATTAACAACAGGATGGAGGAGTATTATCATGTTCATTTTATTTTTGTATAAAATATACACTATTACGTAAGATTTGTAATTTTTTTTTTTTATCTCCAATAGTTTGTTAACTAATCAACCCTACATTGAGTACGTTTGTAAAATTTATGTGAGATCCGAGCATAGCACTGGTTGGTTGTTAAATTTGTTATTGGGAATATATTTTTACACAAAAAGTATAAAATAACAATAGGGAGTTAAAAATAAATAATTCAAAATTTTTTTATTGGAGATACTCTTAGACTTGATTTTATTTACTTTTAGTTTCATTTAGGCTTGATTTTATTTACTTTAAGTTTCATTTTAAGAAATATTTTATATTCTAACCAAAGTTGAAATCTATGAATCATTTTTTTATTTGACGTTAACTTTGAGCTCAAAAATACTAAGATCCAGCTAGACTCCGAATGACAAACTACGATGAATACGGTGGGAATAAACCATTTACTCACATCGCATGTGTTTAATGACCAAAGCCGTTTTAGTCTCATAAACCTGGTTTAGTTGACTAGGAAAACTTTGGTTGCTGTGATTAATTAATCGCTAAATCTTTGACATATAAATTAAACCTCTCATCCTATGGTATTCGTGGGATGAGAATTTTAAGCGACCAAACTTGATCTGATTTTTATTTTTATTTTTATTTTTTTTTATGAATAATGATAAGTTGATGAATTACCACCAGAACATTGACTTGAATGGTGATGATTTCTGGTCTCTAAATAGGAGGTGGAGAGTAATTTGTTTAATAGTTAATTAATACCACAACTACTATTTAAAAAAAAAAAAAAAAAAATGAGGCCGAATTTGGCATTATTTTTTAAAATTACTCCAAAATAGGAATAAGATTTTAATCTTTTTAGATTTCTCAATAGCCTGGTGAATTAGTGGCTCCCGTGCAATCTGAATTGTCAAATATTGACCCTCTACGTCTAGTAATTTACTAATCTAATTTTTAACATTTCTTTTGAAAAAAAAAATTAAAATAACTACTAATTAGGAAAATGTTGAGTTATTTTCGACCTCCAACTAAAGTTTCAAAAATAGTAAAAATTGACAGCACAAATTGGCATTATTTTTAAAAATTACGCAAAAATATGGATAAGATCCTAATGACTAAATTAAAATAACTACTAATTGGGAACAACTGAATTTTCGATCTCCATCTGAAATTCCAAAAAAAAAATTAAAAATTTGACAGTCCTCTTTCGTTTTTTTATTTAAATGTCAATGTCATGTATATAAAAATATATAAACACATGTACAGGCCCATAAATGGAAGGAAATTGTGGGCTAGCCCAAGACTAGCCTACAGCATTTAAAATTCAACAAACCTTTAAGACTCCACATAGTAGTAGCCCAAGCCCACAAGGAAGCTAACCCAACCCTTACAATTCAAAGAGAGAGCCGTTGTAACAATAGCTACACAAACAATGGTTCGTTTGGGGTAAAAGGGGTAACTTTGAGAGATTGATTCGAGTGAGAGAGAAACAGTGATCCAACCAACTTCTTTAGAATTGAACAAAGTATTCTATCAATAAAAACGCAACACACATAGAGAAACACTTTGTGTACCAGAAGAATGGCCCTCATATTGATATAGAAAGGCCTAACTTGTAAAATCGTGCATAAAATAAAAGCTCTTGTAAAATTAAAAAGTTTCTTAGACTAATAAAATTTATCAAGTTATTTCAAACTAGTGACATAAATGAATTTTGAAATGTCAAATTTGACATTACTATTTAATTAATACTGAATTGAAAATTATAATTATTATTTAAAAATTATAAAAATAATATTGAAAGCGTGAAATGGATCATGATCACAACTCATCTAGTATTAAATAATATTATTATTAAATAACAAAATTAAATTTGAGATTATGTATTTCATTCTGTTAACTCAACCAATCAGTACTTTATCAGAAGGCCAAATCAAAGCCACATATTCCAACGTATATTTTAATGTAATTTTGCCAAAAAAAAAAAAAAGAATCTAATGCAAGTAATATGCAATCACATTCACATATGCGCCGAAAGAACCAGTCGCTATATGAAACAAAAAGGTCGGAGTATAAGAATTAGTGTATACCCTTGGTAATGCACGAAGCATGGTCTTACGCATTTGAATTTAAGAGTTAGTTTATCAAAGTGATTCGAATCCAAAGGTATAATTTCTCTTTATCTAATAGAGAGAGGGTGGGAGTTTAAGTCGTACATGTGAATATTAGATATTTTTTTTAAAAAAAAGAATTTCTAATCTAATAAAAATAAAAATAATAACAATAATTTACTAGTTAATTAGAGTGGGTACACTGGCTTTATTTTTAATAATGGTGGGCGCTGCCATGTTTGAGTTTCAGGGTTCGTTGTTTTCTTGTGATTAATTTATATAATTTTATCTAGAAATTTTTAAATAATTAATCTTTCGCTATCAACATTAATTTTTATGATCCATCTACTCAAACAATGATATTATTTTTTTTTTTTCTTATTTTCCCCACACATATCATATTGTCCCTAGATTAGAACCACATTGCACAACTCGTCATTCTTATCACAAAATTAGTCCAATTGGAGCCATCATCTAGAATGATAATAATCACTAATTAGCTTCTTTTTTCTATTCAATTTTTTCCTTGGCAGCCACCACTAAATAGCTTCAACGTTCTCACTTCTACAGCTTCCTATATCTAACTTATATATATATATGGTCGTTACAACACACATTGCCTATATTTAACTTACATGAGAATGTAAAATCTACTCACTTCTTAAAAATAATTAAAATCTTTATTACATGCTAATCTCAAATTCTACTAAGTTCATATATTGAATTTGTACGTTCAAAAAAGTTACAATTTTTTTAATTAAAAAAAAAAAAAAAAAAAAAACTATGTATTTATTTGCGTTGGATCAAATCAAAGTATAATTCTCACAATCAAATTCAATAATTAAAAAATATTTTTCTCAAAGTTCTTGCAAAACTCTTTTTCTCCCTAAACACTTGTTTTGAACGTGTGTCTTCTAGACTTATGTAAGGTATCTGTTTATACTAATATATAGAAGACATATTTAACTAAACATTTAATAAACTTTAAACTAAATTAATAAATAACTGATTAATAAACATACTTACTTACCAAAAATTATAATAATAATAATAATAAACTAAATAAATTAGCATAGGTTTTAAACCCATCCTTATCACGAAGTTAGTTCAATTGGACCTGGAAGGATAATATAACCACTAAATATCTTGACAACGTTCTCACTTCTACAGCTGCCTATATGTGACTTATATATGACCGTCTAATACTATCTTTGAAATTCAACTAAGTTCATATACTGAGTATGAAGAAAGTTGCAATTCTCGTTATAAAGCTATGTATTAATTTACTATCCAATTAAATCAAAGTATAATACTCACACTCAAATTTAAGTCTGGTAGACTTTTGTAAGATATCTATTTATACTAATATATAAAAGACATATTTATGATATTTTACTAAACATTTAATAAACTTTAAAGTAAATTCATAAATAACATATTAATAAATATACTTACTTACCAAATAATAATAATAATAATAAACTAAATTAATTAGCACAGATTTAAGATTTCATTAAGTCTTCATTAAACCTTCATTTATAAAGGTGGAGTTACACTCCATTAATTTGAAACAATAATCTAAAACTAGGAAGAGATGATTTGCCATTTGGAACCAGACTACCAGTGACTTCTAAATCACAATACATAATCTTAATTCATATTTACCATAATTCATTAATCTTCATAAATGTTCGGTAAGAAAGAAGAAAGATGTGTGCAGAGAAAATAACAAGGAAAGAAAATAAAATAGGAAGGATGACTCATCCTTTCTCCATTACAATTTTTTATCTGTCTAAAAATGCGCGGAAGAAATGAACGAAGACAAATAATTTATTATCGAAGTTTTAAATTAAATATTATTCTAAATTCTACAAGTTTTAAGTTACAATATTATTTTTTATAAATGACAATATTATAAATATTATTGGATATAACAGAAAAAATAATTAAAACTTTTTCTTATGAGCTTATTATTTTCTTTTCTATTCAACCAAATAAAAAGAAAGAAATACGTCTTCTCTAAGAATATCCCATCCATCCATTGTTATCTCCATTCCATATAAGGAAAGGAGTTAATGGATAGGCTTTTTTTATTTTTTATTTTTATTTTTTATTTTTTAGCATGACAAAGGTTACTAAATATAAAATGCACAACAACAACAAAGTATTGTTTGATTTGAGCTATCAACACATTGGAACTATCAATTGGTGACATACAGCATTTTGTAGCTATAAAACCAAGCAAGCAAAGTAACAAAACTTAACCTCTACCCTTACAACAAGAGAGAGATAGAGAGATGGGTTGCCTTGCAGTACTACTTTCTCTGGTCCTGTTTTCACTTTCATGGACAACTTGTTATGCAGCCCTTGAAAACTTTCTTCAGTGCATGTCGACCGGCGACGACGAGAGTTTAAACTACATCTATCCC